TGTGGGTGTTGGAGGAGGAGGTGGGCGGCCGGAAACTCACCGAAGTCATCAACACGCAGCACGAGAACGTCAAATACCTGCCCGGGCACAAGCTGCCGCCCAATGTGGTGAGTCCAACATTTTATTGGGGGGGCGGTGGCGCAAAGGCTCTTCCCCCAGCCGGAGCCAGGGACAGGATGGGGGGAGGCCTGGGAGCCTCCTGGGGTGTCACAGGAAGGCTGAAGTGTTGCAGCCTCCTCTGGGCAGCAACCACACACATGGCAAAGGCCGGGACCTCAGGGGCCAAAGGTGTCTGAGGCTCCTGCTCAACCAGCCCTGTGCAAGGAAGAGGCTCCGTGCCTGCTCCCTGGACTGCTAAACCAGCCCTTGGTGGGCCCCAGCACCCAGCCACATCACATGGCCTCAGAGGCTAGGAAGCGCCAGTCATGGCTCCTTTGCTGGGCGGCTTGAGGGTGTCTGGGGCGAGAGTCCTTGGAGTCAATGGCCTCCCTCTCCTGCCAGGGCGGAGCCCTGAAACAGTCGTGGCTAGAGGAGCTGGCTGGTGTCTAACCCAGCAGCGGGAAGATGGGGGAGGGGGTTGCCTGTTTTGTCTCCTTGGTGATGGAGGTAATAAATAACTATCGGCGCCCGCTGGTTCTCTGATGCCTCGAAGGGCTTGTGTAACCGCCGTGGAGAATGGCTCACAGACTCAGTTACTCATTCATGCAGTGACCTTGCTCTGTGCTCCCTGCGGCTGGCCCCTGCTGCTCTCACCCCATGAAGTCCCCCCTCAGCCCCTGCTGTTTGGATGACCCTGTGTCTCACCCATGGCACTCGCTTTACTGGAGCACTGGGCACTCCCGTCACTCCGATGGGAACAGGGCTGCATGTCTGGTTGTGCTTCAGGGCACCAAGGCCTGCAAGGTGCACCTGCCTCTCCAGTGGTCTGTGCTGCTTCAGGGGCGTCCCTTGTTACAGGGCCATGTGCCAGTAGGGGAATGGACGGGGTTAAACCCAGCTAAGGACTCCCCCTGCCGGATAGGCATGTGGTCTCCCCATTCATCAGCCTCATCTTCCTGCACCACAAGTTCCCAATCTCCTTAGCTGGCCTCTCTCTGCCCATCCTGGCCCCTCTCTGCCCATCCTGAGCCTTTCTCCAGGCCATGCTCTGCCATTTGCAAGCCCGGCTTCCCCACTGGATCCTTCCCTCAAGACCCTGCTTGAAAGCTCATCAGGAGCCAGGTGAACTTCTCCCATCGACCATGCTTCCTCCACAGGGGAGCCCCAGTAGCCCTTGTTCCCCACTGCTCCAAGCCCCTTCTCACTAGGTAGCAGCATGGTGACAATGGTCACAGCTCCTTGGTGATGGGCCTGTTCCCCTGCAGGTGGCGGTGCCAGACGTGCTGAAGGCCTCAGCAGGGGCAGACATCCTCATCTTCGTGGTGCCCCACCAGTTCATCGGCAAACTCTGTGAGCAGCTCAAAGGCCATGTGAAGAAGGAGGCCATCGGGGTGTCGCTCATCAAGGTGGGAGCGGCGGGAGTAGCATCAAGAGGCTCGGCAGCCGAGCATGGCTCACTGGGATGGCTCTGAGCGCTGGCTCGCAGGACCCAAGCTGTGTAGATAGGAGCAGCAGGCGCTGGAGGTGGCCAGGTCTCTAGGTGGAAGGACTATAGACTGGGTATTTGGCTGTGGGACTGTAGGGGGAATATGACTAGGACATGTGAAGGAAAGGCCCGGAACGAAGGGAGACTATGGACCAGGCATTACAGTTGTGGGGGCTGGAGCTGGTGAAGGGATAACAGAACTGGGGCATGGAGGTGAAGGTTAGGGCACTATAGGAACAACTCAGACCCTCAGGTCTAAGGCATGAAGGTGGGCCATGGGGCAGGGTTTAGTGCAGGTGGGGCACAGAGGACACAGAAAGGGATGTAACAGGGTGCTTGGGTGTTACCAGGGAGCCAATCCCCTGGGGGAATAACCACTATTCCTGGTTGCATCGCAGGGGGTGGATGAGGGCCCGGAGGGGCTGAAGCTGATCTCGGACATTATCCATGAGTGGCTGGGAATCGAGATGAGTGTTCTGATGGGGGCCAACATTGCCAATGAAGTGGCAGATGAGAAGTTCTGTGAAACAACCATTGGTAAAGAGCCAACCTCCCCCTCCCCTCCCCCACACACACTATCGCCCCCCTCGGGGCAGGGCTACCAGGGGTTAAAATAGCTCCCCTACTCGGGGCTGTACCAGTCTTTCCTCCCAGGATGGGGGTCTTGCCTTCCACCCGTCTTGCCCACAGGTAGTGAGGGGTGGGGGAGAGGCCTCCATGGGTAGTCAGATGCTGAGGGAATGGATGCCAGAGCTTAGTTTCTCCCCCACCCCCATCCCTGCACCCTGATGTGGGTCTTGGCGCATTGGCCGACCTCAGTAACACGAAGGAGGGCGCAGGGCTGTTGGCCTTTGTGTGCGGGGAGCTGTCTGGGCTCATGGCCTCCATGGGCACTGGTGGCAAAACCCTCCTCTCACATCCAGTCTCAAGCCCGTTATTCCTGGGGATGGAAGCATAAATGTGCTGGGTTTCCTGCTCTCTGGATTTTCTGGCTTTGCACCAGATGGAGAAGCCTCTTGACTCTAAGGCTGTGTCTACACAGCAGTCTCAGTCCGCGTCTACACACAAGGGCTGTGTCTAGACTGGCCAGTTTTTCTGGAAAATCAGCCACTTTTCCGGAAAAGAGCTGGGCTACGCACGGCCTTTGTGTGTGGGGAGCTGTCTGGGCTCATGGCCTCCATGGGCACTGGTGGCAAAACCCTCCTCTCACATCCAGTCTCAAGCCCGTTATTCCTGGGGATGGAAGCATAAATGTGCTGGGTTTCCTGCTCTCTGGATTTTCTGGCTTTGCACCAGATGGAGAAGCCTCTTGACTCTAAGGCTGTGTCTACACAGCAGTCTCAGTCCGCGTCTACACACAAGGGCTGTGTCTAGACTGGCCAGTTTTTCTGGAAAATCAGCCACTTTTTCGGAAAAACTTGCCAGCTGTCTACACTGAC